GGCTGGGTTTGAACCTGCTACCTCCGGTATATGGGGCTGGTGCCCTACTCCTTGAACTACAGGTACTGCCCAGCAGCTGTCATTGTTGTTTAGCAGACCCAGGCTGGGCTCGAACCCACCAGCCTTGGGTTAGCGCTGATGCCCTAACCACTGAAGCAACAGGCAGGAGCCGCCCAGTTAAAATTTTTTTTAATTATTTTTTTTTCCCTGTAATCTCAGCACTTGGGAGTCCAAGGCAGGTGGATTGCCTGAGCTCATAGTTTTGAGACCAGCCTGAACCACAGTGAGACCTTGTCTCTAAAAATAGCTATGGCAAGCGCCTGTAGTCCCAGCTACTTGGGAGGCTGAGACAAGAGCAATCACTTAAGCCCAGGAGTTTGAGGTTACTGAGAGCTATGATGCCACAGCTCTCTACCAAGGGGTGACACAATGAGATTCTGTCTCAAAAAAACAAAAATTTTTTTTGTAGAAACAGTGGTCTTGCTATGTTACCAAGGCTGGTCTCAAACTCCTAAACTTGAAAGCGGGGACTATGATTACAGATGTGAGCTACTGAGCCGGCCAACATCACTTTTTATATTCTAGATTTCATCTCCCTTTCCAAATATCTTACATAAGAACCACCGAATAGGCTGCAAGCAGTGGTTCATGCCTGTAATCCTAGCACTCTCAGAGGCCGAGGCAGGTGGATTGCTTGAGGTCACGAGTTCAAGATCAGCCTGAGTAAAAGCAAGATCCCATCTCTACTAAAAACAGAAAAACCAAGGCAAGAGAATCGCTTGAGCCCAACTGAAGGTTGCTATGAGCTAAGATGCCACAGCACTCTACCCAGGGCAACAGCTTGAGACTGCCTCAAAAAAAAAAAGGAACCACTGAATAAATGTGAAGTGATGAAGAAAACTTTTATCAAAACATAACATTGGCCAGTTTTCGTAGCTCATATCTATAATTCTAGCACTTTGGGAGGCCAACATGGGAGGATCACTTGAGCTCAGGAGTTTAAGACCAGCCTGAGCAAGAGAGAAACCACTTCTCTACAAAAAAAAAATTAACCAGGCATGGCATCACATGCAAGTGGTCTTAGCTACTCAGGAGGCTAACCCAGGAGTTACAGGTGGCAGTGAGCTATGCTGACAACAGTGTATTCTAGCCTGAGCAACAGAACAAGACTCTTTCTAGGGGGTGAAAAAATCATAAGCATAGGCTTAAAGATATATAATCTTGTGTATTTCTCCAGTCTTATCTCATGGCCCCTCTCACTACCACACCATTGTCTGAAGACTTTCACTGAAAGACATTTCATCTGCATATCTTATATACGTCCTCTCACCCTCAGTAAGTGTGATAATTTGATTAACATTTGTTTCCTCCACTAGACTGCAAGCAAACTGAGAGCAGGGCCTATGTGTCTTTGGCTCACTATTGAAGAACCAATGTTGGGTTCACAGTCCCTCTTCAGTAAAAGTAAGATCTCATCTCTACTAAAAATAGAAAACTGAGGAGTATTTATTTCAGTAACTATTTTGGTGAATAAATGAGTGAATGAATTAACACTGGTAATCTTACTTCAGTTAAAGTAAGATCCCATCTCTACTAAAAATAGAAAAACCGAGGAATATTTATTTCAGTAAATATTTTGGTGAATAAATGAGTGACTGAATTAACACTGGTTTCTCCAACAAGCAAAATCCTAACAGTGCCTTGCTGGCACTTCTCTCTTCTTAATTCACCTTGATTTATCTATCACCGGCTATAGATCAGTTCAGGAAACATGTGAGAACTTCTTTCTGTTTAAAAGTAAGGCTCGGCGCCTATAGCTCAACCGGCTAAGGTGCCAGCCACATACACCTAAGGTGACAGGTTCGAATCCCCAGCCCGGACCCGCCAAACAACAATG